GTAAGCGTGTATTGGCCCATCCGCAAATGGGGACTCAGTCGCCAACATGCAAAATGATCGCCACCGCTGTAAGAATTGCACCTTCAAAAGCGTTCGCTATCTAATTTCACATTCTGGCGAATCTGATTACTGATCGCTCCAATCAATACACATAGAAAATGGATATTTTCAGCGACTGCGACTAACGATGCTATTCTCCAAGAGGAAATTAAGCCTTAAGTGCTTTACTGGCGCAACATCAGACAGAGATGGCAGCGCCGAAGAGTGGGTGCTTACCAACCAACAAACTGCTTGGAGTCTTCCAATAAAATGAACATTACCAGTTCCTTCCCACTCTCCTATGAGGATAAGTGATAAAGTTATTGGTCAACGGTCATTCAAAACAGCTGTCATTCGTATATTTGGGAATGGTGAACAATCCATAGATAATCTTGAATTATCCTCCGGATTTTAGTTATATCTTGAAATAACTTTTTTTGTTACCTCTTTTACAAACAAGTGTACTTACTCATGGTACTCAAAAGGATCTTGATTAGATACTTAGGCGGTCTCACTTTACTCGTTGTGCAGGCTCCAGCATCGTTTATATCCGTTTCTGGCTCTCGCTAGTGTCGCCCACGATGTTGGTACTGAAATGCTGCGGCGACGTTCGCGAGGTCCAGACTCACTAACCGTTACCGGTTGGGAATTCAGCTGGTCAATCCGTGCATCGAACCGTTCCATCTGATCGGAAACCATTTCAGGGTTATAACTGTTTGTTCTTCTCATTATATGACTGGGGCATCGATGTTTTGTTAGATACGTATCCGCTGGATCACAAAGATGAGACGTTGATCTCATATCTCTGCTGAGTTCGCATGTTGAGTGCGTGGGTCGTACTGCAGAAGACATCATTCCAGCGTTCTGTGGGTCGTTCGGAGAGCCTTCGACACAGGCAGTATCAGACCACGTCTCTGTTACGCGATAGCACGCAAGGAGAACGGCGAATCGAACAGTTCTTGGAGTTTTGGACCCACCAGCTGGTTTGTTGCTTCTCAAGGTCTCGAGCGATTATCAATTGCAGAACAGCTTTGCACAGGCAATCGAAAATTTGGAAGCGGCACAAGGGAGGAGACGTTTGAAGAAAACGGCCACGTTCTTGACTACCGTATTCCGCTAACCTTTACTGAACGAAGACCGGTCTCACATTTCTCCCCGATGGAAGATGTAATTGATCAAGAAGAGATTCAAATCCAATCTTTTCGCTTATCAACACCCAAAACCTCGTTATCCCCACCGGAGAAGTACCACCAAGGATTTTGTTAAAGTACGCTCCGCAATCCAGAACACGAAGGCTGCCATGGCTCCGCGACTGGGCCACGTTTCACCCAACCTCTTACGAGCTGCACTGCCTGCACAAAATATTTGCGACTCACCTAACTTATTACTTATAAAAGGAAAGGATACCTAGTAAGTGAGAATTTCCCAAATAACTCTCCTTGATAAAAAGGGAGATGGAGAGGGTTTTCGGTACCGTCCAATATGCCTGCTGAGCGTGCTTTACAAGCTCTTCACGAAGATTATTCTCACCGTTCATTAAAGACACTGGATAAAGCTCGCATGTAGAACAGGCTATTCCATAGGGAGTTAGCTGTTTGGATCACATCACGAAAGTTTTGAGGATTATCGAAATTTGCTTAGAGTATGCCTACTTTTTGTCCTTTCTCCATCAGTGAATAGTGGTTCGCTGAAATGTAAAATACTACGGCTTCTTGGAAAGTGGTGAAACTTTGACAGGGGACATAGCTCGGGAATGAGAAGGCACGGAAGGAATTACA